CCCTTATTAGTAGTGTAATTAAAATGTTTCAAATGATAAAGGTACAGAGAAAAATTAAAACCATCGATCCATAATTCTTAAAAACATATTCAAACAAATTAAGTAAAGCAATATCTCTTTAAACGGTTTTAATGTTCAATTTGAAACAGTTTTCCAGAAGGTGGAACTGTATTGTAGTAAACAGTTTGATTAAATTGGTTGTTTGTACACACCGACACACGCTTAAAAACAAGACCACAGGTCCAGAGATTGGCAGAATTAATGGTTAGGAGAAGTGGATAGCATTATTTTGTTAATTAGTCTATTTCACGAATGGTGACGCTACCGTAACTTATTCCTGACAAATTAATATTATATATATATATTATTATACTAAAATAGGTATTGGTATTTTCAACATAAGTGCCACTTTATGAGTCACTTGTGTTAAATGAGTACATCAGAGATCCATACAGGGTTGAGGTATACTTTTTTTTTATTAACACAATATCTTTCAAAGTTTTTCGTTTATTTAGTTTTCACACGATACATTAGTGAGACAAATCATCAAGTTCCTTTCGATCTAGCTAACCTATTGTTCTGTGTCATTCACCTTTGTCTTTCCACTTGTCGGACAGGTAACGTCCAGAAACTATAACCTTTCTTATTTTCTAATGGGGATAACTAAGAGTCACTCGGGTAGCACAAATCACCCTAAGAAAGTGTAATATTATAGTTTTATGTATATACGTGAACAAACTCGTACATAATGAACAACTTTTAGCTACGCAGTAAAGACAACTGTCATTCGTCCAATAAATACACACCGTGGTTTTGCGTTCTTGAATAATGGCTGTTTTCACTGTGTTACATTGAATCCAGTTTATTCCTTTTGGAGGAAAGCAATTTCATCTGAGAACAACACAGCCACAGCCTATACTTGCCTGTTAATTATTTTGATCAAGACGGAGACAATATAGTGGTTTGCATAAAGATAACACCAAAACAGATGTGAACATTTTATAACATAAAAAATATATTTTCAGGGCACAGTTGACATGGATCCGAGTTTTCCTCCTAGGAATATCATACGAGCTATTCTGACAAGCTCAAGAATCTGTTTCATCTACTGTTGATTCAAAATACACCATCAACCCCTTTCCTACATGCAATCTGTGGTAAGCAAATAATCGATGAACAAGTTTTTCTCAGTTCTATATTTGTTCATTTTCATCTAATCTAATTGATACGTTGTTAGATGGCTAAAACATATTTCACTTTATAGTGAAATGAATCTTTAAAAAGATTTTGCTTGACTTTGTTATTACGTTGAGTCTAATATTAATTGCTACCTGTCATCTTACCTTATACCTTTGTTAATTGAGAAACCTAGTTTCTTTGTAGTTCAGCCGACAAAGCTATTCAAAAGCACATATTCTCTTTTAATCAGTAGTTTATTGCTCGCTGGTCAGTTTGACTGCTTAATATATGGAGTCCTCAGAATTTAAATTAATTTTATTTTATATTTTAAGTTCTCATTATCTTACCTTAACGGTACTTAAATATATATCATTCTATAAATTTGCTAGCTCAAAGTATGTTATTAAGCACACTTGTGTTTTTCTCATGAATAGCACAACAAACAAGTCAGGTTAGGATCCAGTTCAAGATAAATAAACTGTTAGTGCACCATGTCTAGTAGTTACTTCTTTATCTGTATTTGTATTGTTTGTGAGAAAAAATAATTTAGACAATCATATTTATCCAGACAAAGGACCAAACAATTTAACAATAAATTGACTTGGTACAAAATAATTACACTTAAATATGGCAGTTAGTCTAACAAAAAATATGAAATTAGAAAAAAGGTCAAATTTAAAATAATTAAAAACACCCACTAATTTGTTTGTTTGTTTATTATTAAGCACAAAGCTACACAATGGGCTATCTGTGCTGTGCCCACTATGGGTATTGACACCTGGTTTTTAGACTTGTGAATGAACAACTGGGGGACAAAAAGCCAGCTTTATGGATGCAACGTCAGAAACTACTGCAAACAGTAGTAGCTCTGTTTCACTATTATAAAAATAAACCAGCATCCTTTGAAATATATATTAAAATCACCAAGCTTAAAAAAAACAAACTTAAAAGTAGGTTAAGTAAGAGAAAATATTTCCACAACATTTCCTCATGTTAAAATGTATACTGACTAAAGGCACTACATTACCCAGATGAAATGCTGTGGAACTATTTCATCATGATAAAATGTATACTGACTAAAGGCACTACATTACCCAGATGAAATGCTGTGGAACTATTTTACCATGATAAAATGTATACTGTCTGAAGGCACTACATTACCCAGATGAAATGCTGTGGAACTATTTTACTATGGTAAAATGTATACTGTCTGAAGGCACTACATTACCCAGATGAAATGCTGTGGAACTATTTTACTATGGTAAAATGTATACTGTCTGAAGGCACTACATTACCCAGATGAAATGCTGTGGAACTATTTTACTATGATAAAATGTATACCACCCAAAGATACTATGTAATCGAGATGAAACAGTGTAGAAATATTTTATCACTTACTTTGCAGTGTTTTGACAAATTCTGAAAATAGCATTTAGCCATATTTACTTTGGTAATATATTTGAAGATCTTAATAGTGAAAGCAAAGAAGCCTTTGTCCAATACAAGGGCTCATTCAGGATATGACAGACAGTGTTTTATAACTATAAGAAACATGAATGTTATAATTACATGAAATACAGCTTATTTATCGGTTTATGCAAACTTTGGTAAAACAATATGCAGTGCTTCTATGTTCAATGTAAAAAGTTTGATAAATACAATTACCAAAAGGTTTACCAACAGTTAAGTAAACAGATTACACAAAGACAGAAATATGTAAATAAAAATAGTTTTATTTACACTCAGAAGTTGCAATTTAGTTCTTATAAAATATTACTTCTGATACTACAACACTTCTTTATTAAAAGAGGCTACAAAAACAAATGTTTCAACCCTTACCAAGTAAATAAAAAAAAATTGGTATTTAAAACATTCTAAAGACTTGTGTGCACATACATAATTTACCAAGATGAACACTCATTAATCAAAAACCTTATTTACAGAAAATGTTATGTAACTTTGCTTATAAAAGTAAAACATCACTAAAACAATAGTTAACTGATGGGTTTTAAGTTTCAAAGTTTTATACACCGTGTTATTGCAATTTGAAAAGCTTACAAGTTACATTTTGAGATTAACCAGCTAACTGTTAGAGGGGGATAAAAAAAATGTTTATAAATATTTTTAGTTTTTGCACAATTCTTATTACAAGCATATGAAACTGAAAACTCACCAAAAGAAATATATTTAAAATACTTAGTACAGTATTAATTAACTAATTTTCCACTTTTAACAAGCTGTCATCTCTTCACTGAGAGAATATGGGCTAATATAGCTAAAACACTGTGGAATCTGGAGTGTACACCAAACACTAGAGATGGCCATAAAGAAAAGGTGTCAGATAAAAAAAAGAAAGAAAGAAAGAAGCAACTAAGGTTATTTTAATAAAGATATTAAACAACAATATTGAAATGCCATTAGCAAAACAATACGACTTATTGAACGGAAATTAGATTATAAACCTTCACAAATAATTTTTATAATTCTGCCTAAAGAACACTTCCAAAAATATTTTGAAGAATACTTCAACAGTGTTGAGTACCTTCAAAATCTTGACCTCTTAACTTTAAGCCAAAGAATTCTGAATAAACAAAACCTGAAACAGGATATCTATCTTTAAATCACTTTAGAAAAATAAAATTAGACATGCACACTATATAAATCACTGTTCACATGAACTTCTAAGAAAATAATATTAAAATTCCTCCATAGTTAGTTTTAAAAGCCATTTCTGTTGATAAGAAATGGAAATGTACATTATTACACCTACCTTCTGCACATAGTTGAACAAACACTATTTAAAAGCCAAACTTTATAGTACAAATTCAGTGTATAATTTACCAACAAAATAGGATTTATAAATTATGAAATAACTCATTTTTAAAATGGAAAACAAAATGTACCTTTTTAATTCTAACAAGAATGCAACATTTTATTATTTTCATTATTGTTTTAGTTACTGGTAGTCAGGAGTAAATGGAATTCCTGATAACCCACATGAACTCAAAAACATATCTTAACTCATTCATGCTAAATAGCATTCTGTTTGACATCATCTGTTCTGAAACTTTAGTAGCAAGCACAGTAACTGTGAATTCAGTTAATGCACAATCATATACAAAACACTAGTCATCAATCTTTAATTGTAGCATTATGGAGTAATCTGACCCTCATAAAAAAAAAAGACAATTTGTTTGTATGTTGCTACAGACATTTACAAGCTTTTAGGTTTTAAACTAATTTGAACTAGATCAGGTAACCCACATACACTGCATGTACTTTAGCTGAAGTTATTCAATGGCCTATAGGTTTCACAGCACATATCAGAGCATAAGTATCCCTAAATAAGGACTTGTAAGATATTTATGTTTTATAGCAGTACCAAGTAAAAGTTATTTCATTCCATGTAACAGCACAATCATTAATTGTTTCAAGTCTGCCACATTTACACTACTTTAATAAATAGTACATCAACATTTTTAAATTCATATCCATATTCTAAAAACCAAACAAATACTTAACAATTTTTAAAACAATTATGCTATATACATTATTGTCTAGTGGTTCTTAAGAACATAATTATGCTTTTTCTTCAAAACCAGAAAGATAAAAGCAGGATTTATCTGAATTTATAAACCATGTTTAAGATGGTGAACTACTTTCACAGCTAAGCTAGTAAGCCTGATTCCTTCAAGCTATTGGTTTGTACCTATATGCCACTAGTTTTGCTTTCACTATGAGACCAAAATACTTATTTGGGTGGGGCAGAAACTTAGTTTTGTTTTAAATTTTATCTAAATGTAATGAATGTAGCTATGAAAGCAAGGTCTTGAATGACTTTTAGCTTTAATATGAATGACCAGCACTTCAAATAAACTGTTTGCATGCAAAATGTTAATTATTTATTTGATCTCATAACTTCCTTCCAAATTAGATCTTTGATTTTATGAAAGGTCATTTGGAAACCTGTTACAAAATTAAAAGATATATCACTTAGAAAGGACAGCTCTAAAGAGTTACAATTTGTTAAACAAGTTACAAAATTAAAAGATATATCACTCAGAAAGGACAGCTCTAAAGAGTTACAATTTGTTAAACAAGTTATTTGGAAACCTGTTACAAAATTAAAAGATATATCGCTCAGAAAGGACAGCTCTAAAGAGTTACAATTTGTTAAACAAGTTATTTGGAAACCTGTTACAAAATTAAAAGATATATCGCTCAGAAAGGACAGCTCTAAAGAGTTACAATTTGTTAAACAAGTTATTTGGAAACCTGTTACAAAATTAAAAGATATATTGCTTAGAAAGGACAGCTCTACAGAGTTACAATTTGTTAAACAAGTTATTTCAATTTTAAATGTAATTTTTCTAGACAATATTTTGATACAGAAAAGGTTCAAAGTGACTTTTTAATAAATAATTGTGTTATACTTAGAATATGGCCACTCTAACCTTGGAGTGATGAAAGCTAGGGTAAAACAGTAACTGTATATAAAGTGAAACATAAAACTCAATGCTATACAAACATATTACACAAAACTTTTACTTCATTTCTAGAACGTTTATACCTACTAATTAGTTTGTAGCTCATTATCATGAAAACCAACAAAGCTCAGAGTAACTTCATTTCCACTTTCAAATAGAAATAACTTCTCCAAGTGATGTGGTTTGGACAATTGCATGTAATCATATTTCTTCAAGCCTCTGTGTCATTTATTCTGTTATTAAAATAACTAAATTACAAGTTATATAATATTATAGTGTCTCACCTAAAAAAAGTACCTTTGGAAAAGCATATTAATTCATCTAAAAAACAAAATTATATCAACAGAAAATTGGAACATAGTGCAATATAAAAAGAAATTGCTTCATTATTAGTTTACCAGTAAAATGAACACCTTAACCATGAGACATTACTCAGAAGATTGGTCAATTCAGCTCGAAAGATAATATCAAATATAAAGTATAACTTTCACAAAACCAAGTCACTAGTGTTTGTGACATTCAAGGCAATTGAAGACACTGGAACATTACTTGTTGAGGTTAGACGAATCACTGCATCAGTTGTACCAATAACTGTTCTAAATATCAAAACAAAAATGTTTAATCCCTCATAAAAGTTGATAGCTTTACAAAAAAGCTTCCAGTTATCAAGCATTATATAAAATTTTTTCTTAAACTGACAACAAGTAAATACAACTTTTAATTGAAGCAATATTTTTAACATTTGCAATTCCTGCCATTTATATATATATATATATATATATATTACACACACACACACACATATACTACACGCACAACTAATACACACACGCACACATATACACATGCACAAATATACACACACACACATACATATACACACACACACGCATACATATACACACACACACACACACATGCATATACACACACACACATGCATACATACATATACACACACACACATGCATACATACATATACACACACACACATGCATACATACATATACACACACACACATGCATACATATATATATATATATATATGAAGGTCCTATTTATATAAAATAAATAGCTATGGTTCTAAAAACAACATACATATATACATTTGAAAAATTCAAATCAAAACAGACTTATGATGGCATAAATCATTACTATTCCTGATCAATAATCTAGATAGTTTAAAAAGCTCAAATCTTGAGTACATGACAGCTGAATAGCTAACAGGAGCTTGATATGTTTTATATTACACCTCAGATGATGTTTCAGCTATTGAGTTTAATTCCTTATTCATTTAAACATTAATAATTTATTATGTTTCCAAGAATTCTGTGCTTACCCTAGAATACCAAGAAAGATTAGCCAGCAATCAAAGAGCCATTCTCCTCTTGTGATGGAACTAGAAAACATAATTTTGTTGTAAACAAAGTAAGGGTAAAAGAAAAAGCAGTAATACTCATGAGCTTACATATAATAATGAAATTGTTCAGATCTAGTGTAGACAATGAATGAATCTAAGAAATTACATTGTAAGCATCAAACCAACATTCACACAACAAATAAATACTCACTTTTTAAATAAGAGGATATGGAAGAGCCCAGGTAGGATGAAGGCCAATAATGTGCAGCATGTAGCTCCCACCAAGGCCATCAGATTAGCAAAATTTGGCACAGCAGTAACAATCAAGCCTGTTACAGAGACTACCACAAGTCTCAAGAAATTCTGTTAAGCAACAGAGAAACATCATTGATAACAATACTTTATTGATACAAAATTTATCAGTGCTAAAACTCACTGTGTATTAAAAAACATGCAAATGCTATACTTATTAAGGTCTTTCACATTTAAACAAAAGCCTTGCATTGATTTGTTATAGTTTAACTGATGTAACAACATCACAAAAAAAGCAAATAATCAATATTATAGCCAGAAATACTAAAATTTAGTTTCTCAAAAGTGCTTTCATATGTGTTTTAGCACTGGTTAATATGAAAATGTGACATTTATTCTTTCTGCAGCATCTTAATTTATTTAATTTTTTATTTTTTGGTTCTAAAATTATTTATATAAAACTAGACTGAAAATACAACAAATTTAAGATTTCTGTTATTAATACATTCATAATTAGCCCCAGGCATTCAAAATTATTTTTTTGTGAATTTTCTAATGACGAAAGCTCACAACATTATGTCATTATTACTTAGATATACTTAGCTATAAGAGGCTGTCACAGTTATAAGTATAAATATTTAGCCATTACTATATATATATATATATTAAAAAAACATGACTATCCAGCTTTCTTTTTTTGGCAATAAAATATCGGGCAATTAGTATATTTACAATTATGTTAAAGCTTATGACAAAATGTTGTACTATGTCAGTGTTGAGAACTTACATAATTTCAGAGGAATTATTTAATCAATGCGGGCAATGTATAGGAAAGGGAAAATTACTAAAATGGATTCCAGATGAACTATGACGATAGAAAAAACACCTGGCCTGTAAACCTTGGGAAATAAGCATTAAACTACTGGACTACAAATTATTGTATTAGAAAATTATACTATAAATATTCTAATCCATAAAAGAAATGGATCAGGATCACCTGGAACTTTCTTCATGAACTATGTTTACAAATTTTCAAACATATTTTGAAATTTGTCTTACAGAATATACTTTTATTTTGTACCAAAAACTATGTTTAGGAAATTAAAAGATAATTTAAATTTGAAGAATGTTGTTCCACTTACTGGTTGTATTTAACTAAATAACAGAAACCACAAAAAATAACATTTTGTCACAAACAGAATTACAAAAGTTACAGTAATTAAGACTTGGAATAAATTAGTAATAACTTGAAAATAATTCTTAATCAGTTATTACAATTTGGCTGATTATACTAACTGATATAGAAAAAGCTCTTACATACTGATATAACTGTTACTTAACTTCTGATATTTCATAATACACTTTATTTTGTGTATTAGAAAATGCATAAAAGCAACTAAAAATTATTAAATTCTCTTATTCTTTTATTCATATCCTCAATTGATGGTTTCAGCTTTTGTTTTGAGAAAATACAATAAGAAAAAAAAGATTTATCTTAAGAAGAACTAGAAGAACAAAATTTCTAGTAAGTATTAAATCAGATAAAAAAACAGCAAATTTATTCTTTATAGAAAAATCACAATGGGAAACAATTGTGATATTCTGGAAGGTAACAGTAAATTTGTAAAGTTTCATAAAGGTGCAACTATGCTGGTAATACATACTTAAATCAAAATACAATAAAACAAAATAAGGAAATTAACAGAACAATTGAACCAACTGGCAGGTATTTATGTGGGTTATCAAAATCACATAGAGGATATTTACAGATGTTGATATTTATATGGATTAGCAATCATACATAAAGGATATCCAGTAATACTAAGTTTTTTTTAATAATAGGACATACAAAGTTATTTAACACAGTTCACTTACTTAAAATGAATAGACAGTAAAGACAGTTATGGGTTTTCAAAATGCTTATAACTTTTCAAATTAGATCAAGAAATTGTTAAAACTAGTTTTGGTATTAAATCCTAATACACCAATTTGTCTTTACAAGAAATAACAGATTTAATACAAAACTTCCAACTTCTCAGGGTGAGAAACCGTTATTATAAAATTATATTATGTGTGATTTTAAGAATTTAGTTAAACTGGAAATTTTGTTATTCATAACTTGGGATCCTTTCATTTTAATAACTTTTCTTAAAACATTAGATGCAACAGTAAAAACTAAATCACAAAACAAATTTGTTGTTTAAAACAATTTTTATGTAAAAATACATTTCATATTTAATGAGAGACATGTACATGTATCATCTGATTGATGGAGTCAGTAAGGGTTCCAAGTTAGGACAAACATTACTGAAGAATAATGATTTCATGAAGGCCCATATACTTTTAGAAACTTCATTACAGTATGAAGATTGATTGTTTTATCGTCATTTCACAAAGTCATGTTTCTCTGTTTCAATGATATCCAAATAATTGATATATGTATAAAAAATAGAAATGAACAGAAATACTTTCTCTCATATTCCACAAACAAATGTCGGAACATGTAAAAACTGATTCAGCAATTCAAGTATCAACTGTTTATGACATCAACAAAAATTCTAGTCTTTTCAATATTATAAAACATATACAGAGCTTAAAATGAAAAAAAGAGCTCAGGATACTTGAAAGTTTTGTAAGAGTTAAGGTAAAGCCGTGTCTGAAGTAACAAAGTTTGGGTGTTCCAATACTTTTACAATGGCAAGGATTGTTCTGGTGTAGATTTGTTTTTGAGGAACTGAAAATTGTTTTAATCTATTGATTTTTTAACAACCTTGGGAACCCTATGTCCTACAGTGTATCAGTTAACAAAATAAAATGTTAATATTAATTCAAATATGGAATCCTCCAGAATGCTATAGGTTGGGAACAACATGACTTTAACCACATGAAAAATACTGTATCATGATATTTACCATTCAACAATCAGGAAATGAAGGTCAGTTAAGTTTCTTAAAATGCACTGATTCACAGATATGGTATGTCAGCATACCATACATTTTCTATGGTCTTATTTCAATGTAGAAATTTTCAAAAATATTTGCTTACTCTAGGTATGTGCATTATAACACATGGTGAAGAAAGCTGGTACATTGATTTCACTCTAGCTACCTTTGTTCTTTATCAATGCAGTGGAAAAGCCAACGAAAACAGGGTAAACTCTAGTTCCGAGTCACTGCTTTACAAAGTAACCCAAGGAGGTTATGAAAGTAATTTGTGCGTGAGCCAGAGGCAGTCAATTTTAAGCTAATAGAGTACGTGACAATGTGTAATGATGATACAGGTATATGGCAACATATTTATGAATAAATGTATGTGTGGTCTTACATACATATATGGATGTTATACCAAGTCATTCATAAGTATTGTATCATGTGAATGGATCAAATACAAACAATACAATTGCTAAGTAAATAAAGGATTTCATCTGGATGTTATAACCCTGTGATATGAGATTAACTCTCGTTACTAACCTGAAAGTATTATTTGAAGATAAAATCTACTTGTTATTTTCATTAATACTGGTGAGAAAATGTTTCAGTTTTGCTGTTAAAATATTTGGCAAGTAGTGAATGAAAAAAACAATATATTTGAGAGAAGACACAGTTTTACCTAGTGTTTTTTGGTAAGAGTGGTGTAAAGTATTTTGACTAGATCAAATTCAAATATTTATGAGTTAGTAATATTATCAGTAGTAATTGAAATTCACAGACAGTAGTTTAGACATTGTGACAAATATTAACTTACCATCATCCAAACAAAGCCAAGAAGATGGGGCTTTTAACTTGACAAAGGTTGAGGCATCAATATTTAAGTGTTCCTGAGATCAACTCCTAAAAAAACTGCTGAAGGGGATAACAAACAAATCCATGTCACAGAAGATCCCCATCTACAAGCAAAATTGTCATGAGATGGATGCAATATGGACTGAGGCTTGGACTCTCTCAACAGGGTAGAGGACCAGCTGCAGCTAATACTTGTGTTGTGGAGGAGATATGTCACATGTGGACCGATTTCACACACACACACACAGATGGTCTTGGTCAAAGCCTGAGACATCAAGAGAGCCACTATGGTATCTAAATCACAAGACAACTGCAGTACCTGAGGAACTGGTTATGAAGAGGAGAGTGAAGCTTTGTGCTTGCTCTAGGTAAGTCATGTATATTTTGTATATACCTGCTTGCTTTTCTTTGAATAAACAATCGACATGATTTATAATATATTTTTGTTTTAAAAAGTGTCAGATATACGGGTATTTCTTGCAGTTTTCTGTGAGATTATTATTGTGATTAATTTTTGAAAGTTTGATTTGTTTTGTTTTGAATTTTGCACAAAGCTACACGAGGGCTATCTGCACTAGCCGTCCCTAATTTAGCAGTGTAAGACTAGGGGGAAGGCAGCTAGTCATCACCACCCACTGCCAACTCTTGGGTTACTCTTTTACCAATGAATATTGGGATTGACAATCACATTATAATGCTCCCACAGCTTAAAGGGCAAGCAGGTTTGGTGGGACGAGGATTCGAACCTGCGACTCTCAGATTGCGAGTTGAGCGCTCTAACCATCTGGCCATGCCAGCCCAAATATTTGAAAGAGTTTGTTTAATATTTATATTACTTCAAAGCCATCACTAAGAATTCATTTTTTGTATCTAGTAAATTTGATTTTGTATTATAATTGTCATGTACATTTAAACGTTTTATTTTAGTACTGTACATAAATTTCAGTATGTTTTAAGTTCTACTTTCTTTTATTTTTGAGTAACAAATGTATTTTGTATTTTATTGAGTGTCAGGTGAATTATTTTGTGAGTTTAGTTTGTATATTTATTATCTTGTAATTAGGGTGTGTGTTTAAAACATTCAATCTTTTCTTTATATGAATTGTGTTTAATATATATGTAACTGTTCTTAGAGAGTTAATTTCATTTTATAATTTAGAAATTTGACTATTGTTTTCTTGTTCAAAAACTTCTAATATGCATTATTGTGTGTGTGATAATTTTTATTAAAGGCTATTTTGATGATTGATTTGTAATCATTTTTGAGGACTGTTATACATTGTGCTTTGTATTTTGTTTCTTTATTTCATATGCTTTTATACTTTTCTT